AGTATAAGGTGTAGCATGTCTCGGTATTGGTCGTGCGTATGTCAGTATCTCGAGAGAAGGTGAGGCTACGTCGATCATTGAGCTGCAGTGATTTGTTCCGAGACATGTTTTGCTTGAGACGCGAACTCAAGTTGCCTTTGAGGAGAGGGGAGGAAGGTGATTAGAAAATGATATAGGAAGGCGTTCGCGATTTTATTGTTAGGTGATTGCCGATTGACGAAATTGTGGCGAGATCTGCGATGCGAGATCATGAAATGGATGGACCTGGATAAGGCAGCCTGTGAGGAGTTCTGCTGGTGTGAAAATATAGTAAGAGAAGATGGATAGTTGATATTGGACTTATATGACGATAAGTCATGAGGCTAGATGTGTCGTTGGTCGATATAATCTCAAAATGTGTCGTATACTCTGACAGATTCGAAATCATGGAGGAGCCGTGAACTCCCGAAATCATTTACAGTTTCCTTTCACTGATCACCCGCATGCCTCTTCAATTTTGGGGAAAAATAAGAATTTGATGGCCCTCATGTGTTATCGAGATTAATGATTAAATCTAATTCCAGGACTTGGAAGTTCACTGGGGTCCTGCAAGATGGTTCGCCTTGAGGCAACTCGATGGTCTCTCAGAGGCTGACAAGGAGACGGTATTATGCAGTATTATAACACGCATCAAAGCATTGCGAAGTAGGAGGGGACGCGTCTGAGTGATCGATTATGCTACTAGGTACGTCCACTTCGGCGAGTAGCGATGGTGGGTGGGTGAGGGTGAGCCTTGCTGGGAGGCGCTCCATCACACTGGAATATGGCGGGTCGTGTACGGAGGAGGAGCTCCAGGAGTACCTACAGGAACGGCTCAATGTAGGCGATTGGGGGAGTTCCTCACGGTATTAGCGTTGGATTGTTGGGCTCAATGCTGAAGCTTCGACTGTACACATTTAGTCTGTGCGTCAACTGAGAAGACTTCTGATCAATCAGTGGGGAGTGCTGGTTGTGCACGCATGTCTCAGGTTCTCCAGATATTGTCGGAAGATGATGTACGAGCGATGAGTAGCAGACCTAGAAGTCAGCCGAGGCGGTCAATGACTCTTGGTGACGAGGAAGATGACGACGACGGTGGAGAAAATACTCCTCCGACCGTGCACGGTACCATGTTTTATTATGTTACGAAATTACTCCGCATTAGCTGATTATTGAGGGAAGATTTCATTGGCGATAACGATAGGATTCGCGCCCTAGGTCTGCGCTCGTTCTGAATGTCGTTTGACTCCGATCAACGAATTCTATTCGAAACAGACTATTTCTCAAACTTTGAGTAATAGAGTTGACTCTAGTAATAATAGAATAGTAAAAATAATATTTCAATAATAGAGTGGATTATGCTCCTCATACACACTCGTAGCTCAACGAGCTAAGCTCGTCTTGTCGGTTCCTGTCGCCGGTATGCCACTACAGGCTTGTGAAGGTAGTTTATTCCTTTCAGACGACCTTGACCCGATTGAATCGAGTCCTGCGAGAGATCATGATAGGAGTTGTAAAGCGAATGTCACAGCGACATGTTTTGCTCAGAGTATTTGTTTACAGTTGAGCTATCCTCGCCACCGAGTCATTCTCCTCATCGCCCGTCCGCCTCTCAAGAGTTGGTATTTGGCCCAAAGGTCATTCCGCCCGAAGAAACTAAGGAGGATGGTACGCATCGCTCCGCGTTAGCTGAATAGGATCGGGGTTGTCCCAGGGTGGCCCAGAATGCTATTTTTCTCGAATAAAGAGTATGATCCATTCTCCCCATTCCTAGACCATCCTGGGGATCTCGGACAGGCAAGGTCGTCCGCAGCCTGGATGTCAGGGATTCGGGTCTAGAGTGTTCTCAAGGTCTCTCCTCGTCTTTTCGGGGAATGATTGCCAGTTAGATGATATTCAATGTAGTGCAAATGTTATGAGATCATCGCCTCACGCAACATTCGGGAGCAAATTATGATGCGCTGTCAAACCACGATAGAAGTTCCACAATATATCATGATGGTGGATTGTAGCATTCAACTCGACAGCGTTAGTGATCTTGCGAGAAGTAGATTGTTCGGTATGAGTGCTGTAACCAAAACAGGTTCAAGGGTTCTGTCATGAGAAATGTAACATTCCAAATGTTCAAGCGAGTCTTCCAGCGCACTGCTGAAGGCTTGGAGAATGCCGGATTGGATCAGGAATGCATCGCATATCCTTCTCCTATCCCCGAACAATTCACAATGTGCTATAATTTGTAGCATATAGTGAGGTGGTATGACCCAAGCTGTATGGACTGTAGAGAGTTCATCTGCTCCTGTGTGGGCTTTCTGAGAGAAAAGTCTGCTACCACATTATTGGCATCGCTTATCAGTTCGGGGAGATGGACGACGAGGAGAAGAAAAAAACTTCCCTATCGTATTGCGAAGCCGTCCCACAGAGGTTTTAACGAAGCAGTGAAAGGAGAAGCAGTCCTTTGCACAATGCAGACGAGCGAGCGACAGGATGTCCTTTTACAGTTTT